GGCGTCAACAAGTACTATGTCTCCAAGGCAGGTGCCCGTGGGCTGGGGTGTCCGGGTTCGGCCGGGGCCGGCCTGTGCAGAGGTGCAGGTTAAACTGGTTGATTTTAATGAAGTACCCAAGTGCTGAGAAGCATCGCTTGAAGACCCCGAGTTAGCGACGGGAGTGGTGTGGACACAGCCGTTGCGTTTTCTTTTTCAGGGCCTGGAGAACTTAGACTGAGGCAGCAGCGCTTTGAAGAACCCGTGTGTCTGCATGAAGTGATTTGACCCCACAATAAACACACAGACGCGTTCAACCCCGGTGTCCGTGTTGCTGTGGTGGGTTGACCCTGGCTGGATGCCAGGTGCCCACCAAGCTGCTCTGTCACTGCCCTCCTCAGCTGGACAGGGGAGATCAAATACAACCACAGGCTCATGCGTCGAGATAGCGACAGGGAGAGAGCGCTCGCCAGTTACCATCATGGGCAGAACAGACTCGACTAGGGGAAATTGGTTTAATTTATTACTGATCAAATCAGAGCAAGCTGATGATAAATAACGCCAAATCTTAAAACACCATCCCCCACCCCTCCCTTCTTCCCGGGCTCAACTTCATTCCCAATTTTCTCTACCTCTTGCCCCTGAGCGGCACAGGGGGACGGGGAATGGGGGTTGTGGTCAGTTCATCACATGTTGTCTCTGCCGCTCCTTCCTCCTCACACTCTTCCCCTGCTCCAGCATGGGGTCCCTCCCTTGGGAGACAGTCCTCCACCAACTTCTCCACTGTGGGTCCTTCCCATGGGCTGCAGTTCTGCACAAACTGCCCCAATGTGGGTCCCTTCCATGGGGTGCCATCCTGCAGGAACAGGCTGCTCCAGTGTGGGTCCCCCATGGGGTCACAAGCCCTGCCAGCAAACCTGCTCCAGTGTGGGCTCCTCTCTCCATGGGTCCATAGGTCCTGTCAGGAGCCTGGTCCAGCATGTTCCTCTCACGTAGTCTCACTCCTCTCTCCTGCAGCAATTGCTGTTGCACAGGTTTTTTTTCCCCTTCTTAACTCTGTTATCCCAGAGGCGCTACCACCATCGGTGATGGCCTCGGCCTTGGCCAGCGGCGGGGGCACCGCTGCGTGCGCGTGCATTGGCTCCATCGGCATGGGGGAAGCTACTGGCATCTTCTCACAGAAGCCACCCCTGTAGCCCCCCTGCTACCAAAACCTGGCCACACAATCCCAAACCAGTTACATGTAAGCTTTGGGCAGAACTGGCTTCATCACTTCATGCACTCTGATGTACACTACTCGCGTGTCTGTGAGAGGAAGAAAAGGAATGCCAAGAGGACTACCATGACACTACCGTTACGGAGGCACCTGTAACAATGAGCGCTAGCGACATGCAGAGAGGCAGCAGGACTGACCCTATTTTTACACCCACTTCTGCTGACCTGCAGTTCCCCGCAGCGACCCTGCTGTCGGTGCAGCAGCCTGCCCAAATCGCCGGCGTCACCTCCTGCAGCTTGCCGTTCCCTCCCACCACAGGAATACTGAGCAGTTTTAACCTACAACACAGCCAAAATCCTGCTTCTTCCACATCCTGAATCCGCTGTAAACAATGGCGCTTGTCTGCTTGTTGAGGTATGGAAATGGGAGAATGAAATGCAGATCTTGTGTCACTACAAGTGATGCTGATTACAGAATCACAGAATGGTCGGGGTTGGCAGGGACCTCTGTGGCTCATCTAGTCCAACCCCCCTGCCAAAGCATGGTCACCCACAGCAGGCTGCACAGGACCTCCCCCAGGCGGCGCTTTAATATCTCCAGAGAAGGAGACTCCACAGCCCCTCTGAGCAGCCTGGGCCAGGGCTCGGTCACCCTCAGAGGGAGGAAGTTCTTCCTCATGTTCAGATGGAACTTCCTCTGCTTCAGTTTGTGCCCATTGCCCCTTGTCCTGTCGCTGGGCACCACTGAGAAGAGTCTGGCCCTGTCCTCTTGACACCCACCCTTCAGATATTTATAAGCATTTATAAGGTCCCCTCTCAGCCTTCTCTTCCTCAGGCTGAACAAGCCCAGCTCCCTCAGCCTTTCCTCGAAGGACAGATGCTCCAGACCCCTCATCCTCTTCAGTGTGAGGCACGGCCTGTGGAACAACAACAAATAACCACATTGATTTCAGATTATTCTTCACTTTATTAACCTGAACGAGCAGCCAGGCCAGCAGCAAAATACCCTTTTACTGTTCTGCAGCCAGTGGGAGCTGAGGGTGCCCAGCAGCACTAGGAGTTGTCTTCTGCTGGCTGTAACCAAATCTGTTTCTCTGCTCTGCATGAGCGTCTCTGTAGTGCAATTCCCCCTATTTGCTTGTAGCCATATTGAAAAAGTAATAATATTGCAGAAAAAGAAAATACACTGACATAAACAGAATTCTTATGGATTTGTATCAGCATGAATAACAGCAAGTTGAGACGCAGAAATTTGTACCTGAATTCCCCTGCTGATTAGTTGGGTTGGGATGAAGTGTTTTTTGATCCGTTATCCTGAACCATAGCTCACAGCTTGTGTCACCAAGCAGGGACGGACGCGTCTGACACTTCTCTGTGGCACTCTGTGTCCAGGCTCCAAGATGACGGGGTTAAATCCAGCTGCCCAGCTGCTCGTGCTTTCTAGACTTGGTCAGCCTTGGGTTTGGCTCCTGAGAAGCAGGGTCCCAGTTTTGTCAAGGGCTGAAAAGAGCTTGGGAATCCAAGCAATACCTGCCCAAAGCACTTAGCACCAGCCACGTCAGCTGCGGTGCTGGCTGGAGAGACGGGAGAACTAGCGGGAGGAGAGGGTCATGAGGACGAGAAACAGGGGAGGGAAAAGACGCGGAGATCAGGAGAGGAAGGAGAGGAGGAGACAGGCTTCCAGGCTCATGCTTGCGTTGAGCAGCTCTCCTGGACTGCGCAGACAGCTGAAAAGCAAGGCAGGGCTGCTTTAGACAGGGTTTGCTGTAATCCTTCCGGATACCAAGGCACCCTCAGAAGCTCCTGTGAGACTTGTCCTGCCTGGGTAAGCGTGTCTCCGTGGGCTCAGAAGAGGCCTTTTCTGTGTGACGCCATGCCCTGGGCTGTGCCCACCTTACAGCCCATCCTGAGCAGCAGCTGGAAGAAGTCTCCTTTGCTGCAGGAGATGTGTTAAATGAGCGGGCCTCGTCTGTCACACACAGAGAGCTCTTTGGGGGTCTGTGTCCCGAGCCGTGCCTCCCCAGCAGTTCCAGCACCAGACCTTCCCCTCAGCTCCTAAGCCCTTTTACAACCTGTTCCCCCTCAGCTGCTACCCCACACCTTGGCACAGCTCCTACCCCTCCGGGTCCTTTTCTCCCATCTATCTTTCAAAGCAGACACCTACGCTGCAGTTGTTCTTCCCAATTTTGTTACCGAGGGGATGAAACCAAACGAGGAAAACTCCTGTAAGAAACACAGGACAAAGTGTGCCAACGAGCGAAGGAAAGTCTCACCGCTCGCGCTCACTCTGTGGCATTACCTGTCGATACTCATTTTCCCATCTCGTACAAACCTAAACCAGCTTCCCATCGCTTGCACCACCTCCTTTCACCTTCAAGTAGTAAGCATCTTTATCAGACCAAAAGGAGGAGGACCTACACTTTGCCTATTTATTCCTCTAGCAGCTGAATCCTTCCGACAGCCCCCTGCCATCCTGGAAGAGTGGCTGCTGGCGATCTAGCGCCCTGCGTTCTGCTAAAACATCTCTGGCCTTTTCCCTCTGCAGGGCTCTGTGTCGCGCGTGCTGGTGCTCAGAGCCCACAGCACCTCCGTGCCACGGGCTGGACCACGGCTCTGCTTGGCAGAGCACGGAGCAGGAGCCTGGTTTGGTTCCCAAATTGTTGAGACTGGCAGAAACGTGACAGAGAATCTGGCAGGATGCCATGTCTGCTTTCCTGCTCGTATTGTGTTCCCCTTCCAGGAAACTACGGCTGCCAGGGAGGAATTCCCCCAGGCTCCCCAGTCCGAAGGAGCCCTGCGGTCCCCATCCCGAATGCCGATGAGGATGCCGGGAGCCCAGCGTTCCGATCGGGTGGCACTTGCGTTGCCATGCGACAAGAAGCAAACACTCCCTGGGCTGCTGGGTACCGCTCCGGGGGTCTCCGCTCCCAGGGAGGACAGGACAGCCGCAGGGACCCTGCCAGGGACCAGGAGCAGCTCCCTGGGCACCAGCCACCCCGTCCGGAACCAGACTCCTCCGGGCTGCCACCCGCCCAGCATCAGCAATCCCTCCAGGCAGCTGTAAGCAAGGCGGAGGTGAGTTACGGAGCGGGGGCTCAGCAGAGGGAGACTGCCTGCTGCTCTTCGTGCGGTCTCAGAACACCCTTCCACGTTGGCCTGAAGTTGCTCAGACAGCTCCTGCAGCTCTGAAGACCGACTCTCCCTCAGTGTGCTTGTGCGTTTCTCTTTCTAAAGGTGAAGCCAATGGACAAGGGAGAGGAAAATGCTGCCAGTGAGGAAAAAGCTCACTTTCTCACGGAAAATAGGAGAAGCGGTACAGAGGAATACCTTCCAGAGCTGGAGAAAAAAGAGAAAGGTAGTGTGTCTGCTCTATTTCCATGTGTCAGGGTTTCCCCAGGATGATTTCTCAGCATCTATTTTAGAAATAGATTAAATCTGTTATCTATTTTAGAAACCAAGTGTGTCACCAGAAATATCCAGTGGACCACAGGCAACAACTTCACAGTGGAGAGAGGACGGCAGCAGATCGAAGAAGCCGTTTCTGTGAGTGCCAGTTCCATCCACTCCGGAAGGTCACAGTCATGCCCTCCCGCTGTCAGGGAGTGTGAGAAATTAGAGAGCACCTCAGTTCCTTTTTAGCAGCTCCCTCACGCCACCTCTGTGAGACAGAGGGAATCTTAGTGCCATGTGTTTGTTCAGCAGACATGGGAGGTTCACGAAAGCTGGCTTCACTGGTCGGAATTCCTCCGGGAAGAAGAACTGAAGTACAGCAAGAGGTACCATTACAGAGTCTGCTGGAGCATGCCAACACGCAGAAAACCCATCCCACGAGCAACAGCAAGCGTCTACTTCGTTATCGAGGTCTCCAAAATCAAACCTGCTGTAAGTACTCAGAAATGGCACGCACTAATCCTTCAAGGGACAAGAGTAGGGGGGAGTTTCCTGAGGCAGGGATACGCCGGGGCAGCGGAGAGACCGGCCGGGAGTGGGCAGCTCTCACAAGAGACGCGAATGAGGCCCGGGCATCGCCAGAGTGACAGCGGGAGATTTAAACGCGATGCAACAGGAATTAGCAGTCCGTCACCGAGGGGAGCGGAGCATAGAGCGGGGAGGCTGGTTTCGCTCCCAGATCATCGAGACCAGCAGAAACTCAGCAAACAGAGATTCCAGCGGGATCCCACATCTGCTTCCCTGCTCGTACCGTCTTCCCCCTGCAAGCAACAGCAATCGCTCCAGGCAGCTGTACGCAGGGCTGAGCGGGGGCTCAGCACAGGGGAACTGCCCTGCTGCTCCTCGCGTGGTCCCAGAACCCCTTTCCAGATCAGCCTCAGGTTTGTCGCTCGTAAAATAACATGTCACAGCTCAAGAGAGCAAAAGAAATAAATTGCACCGAGTAGATGTTTTACCCCCAGAATCAGTGCTTAGTCGCAGTGAACCCCGGCCTCCTCGCTGGCGGGGTGGGGTGAGAAGCAGGGCGGGCCACGGCCCTGTGCGAGCTCTGCTCGGCGACAGACAAACCCCCGTGTTCCCAGCGCTGATCCTGGCACAGACCCCAAGCACAGATCCACACCAGCTACTGTGGAGAAAAGTAACTCAACCCCAGCAAACCCAGCACAACAGCTCACAGCCACTGGTCAGAAATCTTGTATCCTAGCACAAGTGTAAAATTGAAACATCTAAGTCTTTGCCCTCACAAGAGGATATTCACAGATGCTTTAAACCAAAACTACTCTAATCCACATCAGAAATGTACAAATACATGTTATTTTTTGAAGTAGACAGTAACTCTCATCTAATTAAAACATCTGCTTTTCGAGGTCCTGTACGTGACCTCCGCTGTGTGCCTCCTCTCTTGCAGACCTTGCCCGTGGAGGTATTCTTCACTCTGGAGTCCAGCGAGCTGATTCACAGGTAAATGTTATGACTCTTCCATCACTGACACAACTCAGGAGGTTCCAGCAAGCTTTTCCATGCCAAAAATAAACAAGGAGCTTGATGTAAACAGGTTTGCAAAAATGGCAGAGAGGTGGAGGACTGTCAAAACCTTGCTACGCAAAACCAATCAACTCTGCTTTTCCTCAGCTTCACTCCACCACAGGCACGGACAGCCCCGCCGTCAGCACCTGCCTTCTCCGGAGGGAAGCTGTCCTAGGCTTACACAGGTCTCAGCGGTGGGGTTTTTTCAGCAGATGGGCTTGCCCTGAGAATAAAGGCCCACTCTCAGCTGGAAAAACTTGGACTCAGTTTTATTCTTACCATTTACCCTCTTTTTTCTTCTATCCTCCAGGCCAGAACAGTGTCAGTTTAGAGAAAAGTGGCTTAAGGACATAATTGAAAATAAAATAATCCTCATGGAAAGGCTGACTTTCTAAGGAACAGCTCCACTGCACCATCACCAAGGCTCTGTTGGAGTTTTGTAGAGAACCAAATTAAACACAATGAAGAAAGAATGTTTTCTCCTTACTAGCATTTCTACTTTGCGGTCACATGAAAAGCTTCAAATCTGTGCAAAATCAACTACGGCCTGACCTGGCAGCTGGCTTTACGTGACGGTCCCTCGCAGGTATGGGTGGGTATGGCAGGGCGGAACCGGTTCCAGAGTGTAAATGAGAAGAGGCAGCCAGGCTGGACTTGCTGTTTGTGAATGCCAGGTCTGCAGAACTCCATGGCAAACATTATAGGACTTTTATTTTCTTTATACAAACATACAAGATACCTCTGCTGCCAAAACTACAACACAGAGATTCAGGGGGACAAAAAACCCTCTAGAATACACTTTGGTTTCAAAAGGATTTGAGAAAACAAAGGCTAAGGGGGTACGTTTGGAAATACGCAATTGAATCAAAGATAACCACCACGGAGGCACTACCTGGAGTAGGCCTCCGAGTACAGAGTTTAAAAGACAGCTGTGTAATAGTGCTAAAACAGACCAAATGAAAATACCACAGGAGTTAAAATAAGGTTGTAATCTCAAACACTAGATAGACAAAAAAAAACCAGACATGAAAATTTTAAACAAATGGGAAGACGGATCCTTGTTACCACCCGTGTACATGCGGGGGTTCCACTGACGGCACCCCACCGCTCCAACACCTAGGTGTAACATAGGAGAAAAAGCAGCAAGCAGCTCAGCTCTTCACCACAGGCTTCGGCGCGCTGCAGATCAGACCCTTCTGTTGCTGTTACTGCACACCCTGACTGCGATCTGCTTGCTTCAAAGCAACTGAAGCCCCACTGCATTAAAGCACAAACTCCTTTCTGTTTACCAGTCTGGTTTGAACCACAAACCAAACTCAGCTGTTCTGAGCAAAAATAAAGCTAAGACTTATGAAAAAATACCAAAGTGGACAGTCTTAGACCTTCAACAGGAACTTCGGAGTTCCTTCATTTTCGCTGCTGTTACCAGTAGCTTGCTTCCGATGTCTACTCTCATTAACCAAAATAAACGGAAAATCAGACTTACCAGCATCAGGTAGCAAAGCCTTCCCGCTTGTCCGGTTCAAAGCAAGCACAGAGCACTGCCACCTGCAAGCTCCCCTGCCCGCTCCTGCCTCCCCTGCCTTCTAGCCTTTCACTTTACAGGGATTCCTTGTAGATGGTGAACAAATCACCCAAGAAAATCTGACAAAAGGAACTCTGTTTCCTTGACACAAGTAATCCACTCCCGAGGCTTGGCCCTGCCGGGTGAAGGCACTGCAGCACTTGCAGCTTTTTTCAAATCACGACTGAAACAGGCAAGCTGCTGCTTGGTAGAACCTACGGCACACAGTTCAAATAAAGAATTTATTTTTCCTCTCTGCCTTTAGTCTTTCTGTAGACCATCTCTCGAAAGCTTGCGAGGATCTTATTCTCTCGTTTCCTCCTCTCCTCCTGGTTGAAGGATGCGAGAGCTCTCTTCTCATCTGCGCTGTAAATCTGGTTCTCTTTACGCAGACGCACAGCTTCCATTCGGCGGTGTCTGTGGAGGAGAACATGGCGTACATCAGCACGGGCAGCGGGATGTAACCCCCTGTCACAGCTTCCATCTGTCAGCCGGCCTGAATGTTTGGAGGGGCTTATAAAGACCCCTACAGAATCCAAACTGCACACAGGGAGGAGCGTGGCAGAGCAGAAGGTGGCTTCTGGGGGCATCTGCTCTCAGGCAGTCAGCCCGGAGCCCCACCTGCCCCCAGGGTGTCAGCTGCTGGCTCACCAAAATTTCAATGAAATTCCAGGGAGAAGGAAGTGGAGCCAACCTCTCACACTTCAATTTGCCTCCTACTGCAGAGCCAGCACACCACCACTGCTGTCCAAACACACCACCTTTGAGCCACCTGACACAAGCATCTCCTCATTTGAAATACAAGATAATTGGGAGCGCATTACCTGGAAAGAATTTTTGCTCTCAAGGATATAGTGTCGTTAAAAAATTCACCATCTATCTATAGCAATAGGGAGTTTAGCATAGATTACTGCAAGCACGCAGAGGACTCTCTCTTCCGTGCTTTCAGCTAAAGCCTGGAAGCAGTCTTGCAACCGGCCAAGAGAGGAAGCAGCTCTCAAAAATTTCACTGAACCATTACCATCACGAAAACCGTACCTGCTGCCACTCATGACATAGCCGGAGCTCTCAAATGACGCGATCTCTTCACTGGTCAAGCCGATTTCACCTCTCCGGGGTATACGTTTTCCTGCTTTTACGTACTCCGCCATGGCTGCGCCTTCACCGGGCAACAGGGCATGTCCATAGCTTTAAAAAAAAAAAACAAACCCAAACCAACGGTGATTTCAATCAGTCTCAAATAGAGAGAGCCTGAGCTGAACATCCAGCCTCGCTGTTCGCTACTTGCT